CTTGGCATCGAGCCTTCTCTTGTGCCCCTGGCCCCTGCCCGCTGGCAGGTAAAGCACCGCCTCGACGAAGGGCGGGAGCTCTCTCCGGCGCTTCTTTCCACGAAGTCTCTCGCACGCCGCGCGGCCGCCCACCCCCGCCTCAAACAGGCCAAACACCACGCCGGCGCTGTTGATGAGCCACGCCACAATCATGTGTTCAGGTCTGATACTTCCTCCGCACTGGCGTTCTACCGCCAGCTTCAGAGTCCGCACGATGCCACCGGCAGACTGAACAGCTCGCTCGATCGCGCCATGTGCCTGGTGCTCTTCCACCGGGCTCTCCTTCTTCATGATCTGGCATGTCTCGCCGAGACTCTCGATAATCTTGTTCTGTAGGTCCAGGATCGCAGGCTTCTGGTCGCTCGTGAAGATGAAATGTCTCACTCCAGTGTACTTGATGGCCTCCACCACCACCTCGATGAGCCATGTCTCTCGAGCTCCATTGCTCGCCACTGCCATAGTCACTGTCCATCGCCCTTTGCGCTCACGCAGCACTAACGTCGGCGCCGCTCGCGGGTCGTCTCCGACGAAGAACGCGCAGTCCACGTAGATTGCGTCGACTAGATGTTCTCGCTCTGCATCCAGTCGTCGATTATCAGCGCTGCGGCCGTGCCCTTCGACGCAGTCACCGCACCATGCTCTGTCCTGCACGTGCCCCGCCACCTCGTGCGACTCACGCTCGGCCGCCGCTGGCTCGAACGGTCTTGGCACCACCTTGACCAGTGGGCCCCCCGTGTCCTCATCCTCCACGACCTCCGATTAGGGCACAGCGGGCGCCGCCATCGCCGGCGCCGCCGCTGAGCCTGAACTTCCCCCTTCCAGGAAAGGGGATATCTGGTGCGGTCTTACTGCCGCGCATGCCGCCTGTTCCCCAACACCGCACTGAGGTCTGGAGCTGCCCGCTCCTGCCATTGACCTCATTGAGCTTTATCGCGTGGACACCCCGTCGAAAGTAAATCGGCAAGCTCTTGCCGCTCGCGATGTGCCTCAGGTAGCAAACCCCCGGCCCGAAGTACACCTCGCGGCCATTCTCCACCAGCTTCGACACCGCCAGCAACACGCGGTGCACGCCAGATGAGATACACCGAAGTCGCCTCACACTGCCATCCTCTGTCAGCACCTCGATCGTCTTCTCGCCCCCGTCGTGCACCAACTGGCCGTTGGCTGCCGCGTAGCCGGCACCACTCTCGCTGGACACAGTCGGCCTCGCCGCCACGCCGCGGAACCACGCGTTCGGCACCGCGCTCGCAGCTGCCCCAGAGCCCACCGCCGCATAGAAGAACTCCTCGTCGACATCGCCCATGGCGTTCAGCTCCAGGGTGCACAGGCCCGGCCCGCCGAGGTTGCCAGGCTGCTTGGTCTCCAGCTCCTGCTTGTCGCTCGTCTCCAGGCGGTTGGCACCTCGCCCCGACGATGGCGTCTGGCCCCGCGCCAATGGACAGCCCTTCCGCCGATGCCCCTAGCCCCAACACGTCGATCCATATCTTTGGAAGCCGGCCTGCTGCTGCTACTGTTTCGGTCGCCCATCTCGCTTCGGCCATGGCTGGGACGGCATCTTGGTATTGCCCTTGCCCTTCGGGTCCTCGCTCTTGCCTTTGCCGACCTTGTCCCTGGCCCCCTCTGCCCTGACCCCTGGTCTCGGGGTTCTGTATGGGCACCGCCTCCCAGAAGCCAGCAGCCCCGCTTCACGCGGCCCTTCCTGCCGCAGCTGTTGCACGCGATGTCCAATCCAGTCTTGCCGCCCACGCCTCCGCGATTGCTCGGGCCCATAGGTACCGGACCCTCCTTGACCTTCGACCCCAGGTAGCTCTGGATCTCCTCTCGCACGCTGACCTAGGTCTTCAGCTTGTTGGCATTCAAGGCCAAGCGGTCTGTGAGCACACCCTTCGCCATGCTGATCAGCACCTCCGTCTTGATGTCCTCCTGAATCGGGATGCCGGCCCGCCTCTCGTAGACGCGCAGCCGCTCCTCCCACTTGGCGATGTGGCTGTTGTCGGGGATGGACAGACCCCCCTTCAGCACAACGTGGTTTAGTGAAAACGACCTGAGGCCCAAACCTGGCGGGCACAAGCCTGGAAAATAACGGCCACGGCGCCCTCTCGAGAACCGAAAACGGACAATTCACTAATCGACGTGTCACTGTTGGGGGTTCTATCAACCCCCAAAGTTGGGCTCCTTCACGTCGACAGCTCCTGGATGGATCAGCGCGCCGAGGATGTCCATCCTCCGTCCAGCTCCCTGTGGGTCGAAGCGTCGCGAGACAATCCGCCACGCCTCGAAGCCGTCGTTGTGCTTGGTCGCCTGCACCAGGTCCACGGCTTCTCCCTCTCAGAGCTGTGCCAGCACCGCGTGCAGCTGCCTGCGCACATTCTTCACGTCGGCGCCGTCGTCCATGAACCCGGCGATCTCCTCGCGATCCTCCTTCGTCAGCAGATCCTCCTGGTCCTGGATGTAGTCCATCGCGTCCTTGATCCCCGTCGTTACACCCTCCAGGAAGTTGCCTAGCTTGAACGATCAGCTCGACCACGCCTTCATGTCGCTGTTGAACACTGTCGCCTTACCGATGCCCTTGCTGTCTACGAACTGCACTTTCTCTCTCTCTCTTTCTCTCTCTCTCTCTCTCTCTCTCTCTCTCTCCTTGCCTCGCGGTCCGCCAAGACCACGGCCTGCAACCGATTGTTCCGCTGCTGGGTCAGCTCGTTCGTAAGTACTCTCATCTGTTCTCCCATCCAGCGTAGCTGCTCTTCCGCCATCAAAACCACTCTCTGGGATTCTCACGTAGCTGTTTCGTCGCGACCTGTTGAAGCCACTGTCCCAGATGACCCCAAATACGCTAAAGCCGCCTGATCCTGAACAAGCTGCGAACCACTCGTCGCCAGCCCCTCTGCGATCCTTCTCCTGCAGCTCGCTCCCCCCGGTCGACTGCAGGCTCGGTCGTCTCAATCCGTTCACGCCACACGCGCCGCCTGCGGCAGCACACGAAACAACGAACAGCCTCTTAGCTGCAGCTATCAGGGCGCCGCGCGCCCGTCGTCAGGAATGGATCGGCAGCGGGCGGAACTGTCACCAGTTCCGCTACCATGACGATGGTTGTTTGAACCAAAACGGCTAAGGATAACATACATCCTTCACAGTCCCTTCTGAGGAATGCATTGCCACACGGATTGAGGTCGGGTGGCTTTCAAGATGTGGCTCTCGCCTTGGCGCCGCGCACATTCATTTACAACACTTGCATGAACTCCACAGATTGAAGGAGGGTGGTATTCAAAATGTGGCTCTCGCCTTGGCGCCTCGCACATTCGTTAAATTGGCAGGGGCTTCAGAAAACCGAGGGCGGGTGGTCCTCCAAATGTGGTTCTCGCCTTTAGCGCCGCTCAAATTCGTGTTGAATCGCTGCAAGAGCTTCACGGACTGAAGGCGGGGGGGGTCAAACTGTGGCTCTCGCCTCAGCAGCGCGCACATTCGCTTTAAACGCTGCAAGAATGTCACGGCTTGAGGGCGGGCGGTTTTCAATGTGTGGCTCTCGTCTGCGCGCCGCGCACAATCCTCTTTCACAATCCGTTCTGGAAAGATGCAGGAGCATGAAGGTGCAACAGTTGCCTCTGAGGGCTGGCCCGGCCGGCTCGCGCTGCGCCCTGCAGCTAATTAGGTTTGCCCGTCGGCCCGGACACCCTGTTCGCCGCCTGCGCTTTTCGCTTGCGGCCGCGACCAAAAAAGAAGGTGCAACAGTTACGTAGGCTTGCGGAGTTGGAGTCGCAGGAAGGACGTTCCAGAACGGCTCCAGATCGCCAAGACGCAGCAGTCCGGTTGATCCGTGGCGTGGGAGTCCCACGAATAACGTTTTGGCACGCTTCAGGGTCTTGCAACGGCTGTCTTCCAACGAGGTAGTCCCCTCAGTGGAGATGAAGCCTTGCAGGGGCCTACGAGGAGGGAGCTTGAGGGAGGGCGTATACCAATTGATGACTCTTGGGTTTACACTGGTCCTCCTGCTCCTCCTCATCATCATCCTCCTCCTCCTCCTCCTCCTCCTCCTCTTCCACCTCCTCCTCCTCCTCCTCCTCCTGCTCCTGCTCCTGCTCCTCCTCCTCCTCCTCCTCCTCCTCCTCCTCCTCCTCCTCCTCCTCTTCCTCCTCCTCCTCCTCCTCCGCCTCCTCCTCCTCCTCCTCATCCTGATCATCACCCCAAGCGCTGTATTCATTGTCCCCTCGTCCCTCCGCACAGGAAGAGAATCAGGCGGCGGGCCTTCTCGGACAGCCTGGGGCCTTCCCCGAAGTGTGCTACAAGTCTTCGCCGACGACGCGGGAAACGTCTCGGGAGGCGCGGAGGGGCCTCTGAGAAGCCCCCGCAACCTTCCGAGAGGGCCTGCCCCCTCTCACTTCCCCCCTGGGGCTCGCCGCCGAAACAGGGACACGCGGGGAGGTTCCCCCTGCCCCCTCTCGCTCGAGACATCCCCCATCCCCAGCTCGGGGAGGCATCGTGGACCTCCTCTGCGGAGGTGGCAGCCCCAGGGGTGGTGGTGGTGATGGTCGTGTCGCTTCTCCTCTCCCCGACAGCCTCCATGCAGGCCCCCGAGGCCCCCATCAGGCCCTTCTGACCCCCCGAAGGAGGAGGAGGAGGAGGAGGAGGAGGAGGAGGAGGAAGGTGAGGAGGAGGACGAGGAGAAGAAAAAGGAGAAAGAGGAGAAAGAGGCGAAAAAGGGAGAGGAGGACGAGAAGGAAGAGGAGGAGGAGGAGGAGGAGGAGGAGGAGGAGAATGAGAACGAGGGCGAGGGCGAGAACGACGACGACGACCGACGACGACGACGACGACGACGACGACGACGACGGCGACGACGACGACGGCGGCGGCGGCGGCGGCGGCGAAGACGACGGCGAAGACGACCGCCTCCGCGCCCCGCGCTCGCACCGCGCGCGCGCGCGCTCGCCCTGCCGCCGCGGCGCGGCCCCCGCGGGCCCCTCGACGGGACCGGCGGGCCGCGCCGCGCGCGCGGCGGCGACCTCCTGCTGCGCCGCGGAGGCCTCGGCGGCGGCGGCGGCGGCGGCGGCCGCGGCTACGACGACAACGACGACGACGACGACGACGAGCGACGACGACGACGACGACGACGACGAGCGGCGACGAGCGACGACGAGCGGCAACGACGACGACGACGACGACGACGACGACGACGACGACGACGAGCGGCGACGACGACGACGACGGCGGCGCTCGTGGCGGCGGCGGCGGGGCGAACGCATCCGTATCCTCGGAGTGACCCTGGGCAAGAGTGACGTTTGGCGCGGGGCTTTCGTGGGCTGCGGGGAAGGCCCAATCCAAGCAATCCGAGCACGCCAGCCGGTGCTGGTGGGACCCCTGTGGACCCGCAGCAAAGGTCACTCTGGCGAAGAATCACTCCTTACGCGTAGCCAATTTCCGCGCCTTCGCGGTCTGGATGCCGAGGCGCGATCCCGCGGATACGCGGTCGCACGGATAGGTTCCGCGCGGGGCATCCGCAGAAAAAGGCCCCTCAGCCGCGGGGTCGCGGCCCGAAGGGCCTGACCCACGAGGCCGAGGATGCGGATCTGGTTTTCCCCCGTGAACCTCGGACTGGATCCGCCGCTCCCACGCCTCCAGCTCCTCCTGGCAGGGAACGTCAGCTGACCACCTCACCGGCAGAGCCCAGAGTCGAATCGATTAGTCGGATAGGCGATCGAAAGGAATCGCATCGGCGGACATCCGCAGCCAAGTCCAGCTCGGCGGGAAACGGCAAGCTTGTGAGGCATCCATCGAGAAACCGCGATCCTGATCGGAATCCGAAGCCGAAGCGAATCAGAGTCGGAATCGGAATCGATGGAGACCGAACCGAACCGAGTCGGAGGAACGGGAACGAGCCCTGCCTCACCGACCCAGGATGGGAGCGGCTAGGATGCGCGATCGGGAGCGGCCAAGAGGGGGGTGTCCAAGAGGAGGGGGTGCAAATCATGACCGGCGGCATGTGCGCGGCCCAGCGGGGGGGCCAGGGACGTAATGAAATAAGAAGAGGCGCCGTGAAATCTGGGGACATATCATGGCCCACGCCATGAGATCACCCCCCCCTAGTCATCACCCCCCTCTGTTCCGCCCCCGACGCCAGGCGGCCAGCCGACGCCCCCCGGTCCTGGTGCTCCTCCAGCGCCTCGACCTGGCTCAGGGCCACTTGCACCTCGTCGGAGGCTCGGGAGCTTGACACCAAAACAGATCGGCGGCGTGCCTTCACCGAGGGACGACGTTCCCGGCCCCAGTGCTGGTGGTGGTGATGTCTGGGCCTCCTACAGTGAGAACGTAGAAAAACATGTCCTGCAAATGTGTCACACATGTTCTTCACATGCTTCAGATAGTTTTTACACACTTGTGTTAGACATCTGGAAATTGTTTGGCAACATGCTCCCTCTCCACTGATCGTCCTCCACAAGGCTGGTGTTGGGGCCCATTTCGAGGCCTCCAACCTCGAGCTCGTCCTCGTCCGCGGGGCCCCCCGCGCTGGGCGCCTGCAGCGCCTGCAGCGCCTGGAGCCCGGCCTCCGCCGCCACGCACCGCAGCCTCCAGCGCTGCCGCGCCTCCTCCGTGCGCCGCAGCGCCAGCCGGAGCCAGTCGGCGTCAGCGCCGCTCATCGCGGCGATCGGGCACGCCGTGCGCCCCTCCTCCTCCTCCTCCTCCTCCTCCTCCTCCTCCTCCTCCTCTCCTCCTCCTCCTCCCCCTCCTCCCCCTCCTCCTCCCCTCACACCCTGGCCTGCCCGTCATGACACCCCCGCAGCCAAGAGTGCCTGCGAACGGGAGCGGGAGCGTGGCGGAGGGAACGGCGGTCGCGGCATGGTGGCTCTCTCTGATTCCCTCCCTCTCTTCTCCATCGCTCCCTCCACTCCTCCCTCACTCTCTCTCTCTCTCTCTCTCGTTCGCTCTCCACCCTCTCTCTCTCTCTCTCTCTCTCTCGCTGTCTTTCGCGTCCTGTCTCGCTCTCTCTGTCTCTCTCTCTCTCTCTCTCTCTCCCCTTTCCTTTCCCCCCCATCGTTATCTACAGCGTAGTACCCTAGATTTACTATATGCGCTGTCGTTTCTTCTTTCTCGCTATCTCTCTCTCTCTCTCTCTCTTTCTCTCTCTCTCTCTCTCGGTATACGTGCTCGTGCATATATGCATATCCAGATATGTGTATGCCTTAGCCTGTGCATATGTTTACACATGTATCCCTATAGAGCACGCATGTGTATCCTGTAGTATGTATGGTTTTGGTTATGTGTGAAGCCCCACCTCGCTGTATGCGTCAAACGTCATATAAGGTATGTTGTCTGATCACGGTTCCCCCTACATGTGTGTGTGTGTGTGTTCTCTCCCTGAGCACATGTTGCTGCATACACATGTACGGATTGACGCAAGTAGGCTCGCATCTCTCAGAACCCTCCGCGGCACGATCTATCCTGTTGTCTGCTTCTCTAGCTCATGTGTATAGTATGTACCCCTCTCTCTCCCTCTCTCTCTCTCTCTCTCTCTCTCTGTAGTCTCGTTCTCCCTCTCGGCCTCTCTCGTTCTCTCTGTGATTGGTCTCTTTCTCTCTCTCTCTCTCTCTCTCTCTCTCTCTATCTCTCTATATCTATATATATGTGTATATGTGTATGTATGTGTCATTATATCTCCCTCTCTCTCTCGCCCACCCTCTCTCTCTCACTCTCTCTCGCTCTTTTGTTTTCTCTCTCTCTCACTCTCTCTCTTTCAGATACTCTCTCGCTCTCTCTCTCTCTCTCTCCCTCTCACACTCACTCACTCCTTACATGTATAGACAAGCCATACATCGGTCACCCGTATATCTAGATGTATAACAACATGGATCGACATGTCTGTATGTGTCCGCCACCGTGCGGTAGCGGCACGGAGCGGGCGTTTCGCCAGGTCCTTTTGCCCCATCCTCGGAGCCTCGATCCTCCCTCCCGAGGAGTCTTTCGGGGGGGGAACGGGGCCCAAATTCTCAAGTCTCTCGGGGCTTCCCGCACCCTCGCTTCCTCGGGGCTCGTGGCGCGACTGTTTCGGACCCGAGAGAGACCCAGGAAGGCCCCAAGAAGGGCCAGGAGGGCCCAAGGGGGCTCCAAGACGGGCCAACGGGGCCCAAAGAGGCCCCAAACCGGTCCAGGAAGACACCGAATCGCTGAACGGTCGTTCCAAGATGCTCAAGATGGCCCCCAGACGGCCCAATAGGCCTCCAAGAGGCTTCCCAAGAGGTCCCAAGAGGCCAAAATCATTGATTTGCCTTCGGCGTTTGATGGATTTCGGCGTTCTCGCCTTTTCGGCTTCCCCACGAAGCCCCCGAGATCGTCCCAAGACGGCCCCAGAGGCCCCAAGGGGGCTCAAGAGGGCCGAAAGACGGCCCAAGAGGCGCCCAAGCCAGGTGGGGATAAATCAGACGAACTGGTCTTCTGAAACAAATCCTCTATTCCAGTCTGCAAATCCCACCAGCCCTCTGGGCGTCGGTGGTTTAGGGAGTTTCCTATTCCACCCCTCCGTCTTCCCCTTCGGGGAGGGGTTTACCCCTCCCCCTACGCCCTACCCTGGACCTGGACGGGGGGGGGCGCGAGTCGTCGGAGCGTCCAAAAAGGCCTCGGCGAGGAAGCCAAAATCATTGGTTTTACTAGGGGTTTGCTCTATGTTGGCCTCCTGAGGGGGGCACCCCAATTGACGCTCCCCTCTTGTTTGATCGATCTCCTCCAAGATGGCCCCAAGAAGCGCCCAGGAGGCCCCAAGAGGTCACAAGATGGCCCCAAGGTGGCCCCCAGAGGCCCCCAAGAGGCCCCCAGGAGGAGCCCAAGAGACCCCCAAGAGGCCCCAAGAGATCCCCCAGAGGCACCCAAGATGCTCCAAGAGGCCTCGGCGAGAATGCCAAATCATTCATTTTACGAAGGTTTTAGTCACATGTTGGCCTCTTGGGGGGGCACTGATTAAGATTACTCTAAGAGCGTCTGGGAGAGCCCAAAATGACCTCCAAGATGGCTCAAGATATCCCCGGATGTCTCATAATGGCTTCCTCTGTGTGCTGCCCACTTCCCTGATCGAGGCAATTCCCCTGGGCATCGTTTCTGGATGGGCTGGCGGGGATTCTTTTTTGGTCGCGGCCGCAAGCGAAGAGCGCAGGCGGCGAACAGGGGACTGGCGGGGATTCGCGAAGCGTCAACAATTTAAATCCGAAGCCCTCCCTTCTTGGGTGAGCCTTGCGGCTTCGCCCAGGCAAGGCATTTTTTCGAGACGTACCTGGGTTGTGGGTCATAATCTTCGTGGATGCTTCTTGGTGTTTGTTCGGAGGGCTCTCAGGAGCCTCTGGGGAGCGGCTTTGAAGTTTCGGGGGGGCCTCTTGGGGGGCTGCTTGGGGTCCTGTTGGGGGTCTTGGGGGCCTCTTTTGGGGCCTGGGGCCTCTAGGGAGCCTCTTGGGTCCTCTTGGAGGGCTCTTCGGGGCCTCTGGGGGCTTCTTGGGCGCCTCTCGGGACCGAAAGCTCGAAATGTCAGTTCGGATTCCCCCTCTGGGCCCCCTCTTGGAGCCATCTTGGGGCCTTCTTGGAGGCATCCATCTTGGGCCATTTGGAGTGGATGCTTTTTGGGCCGTCTTGGAGCGATCGTGGGGCCTCTTGGGCCGTTCAGGGCGATCGGCAGCTCGAAAAGGCAGTACCGCCAAAATCGTTTGAAAATCCACGCAAAATCAACGATGTCTGCGCGGTCGGAGCCTCCTGAAGTCCTCTTGGAGCCCTCCTGCAGCGTCCTGGGCGCTTCCTGGGCCACTGCGGGACCAACGCGGGCCATCGTGGAGCGCTCTTAGCCTGAGGCCGTGGGGCCTGCCACCAATTTGGCGCCTCATTGGGGGCGCTCTGGGGGCCCCCGAAGCCGCGCCCAGGAGTTCCGGCATCTCTGATCCGACCTTGCCAAGAGCCTGCCAGGACTTGCGGGGACCTCGCCGGGACCCTGCCGCGATACTCTTCGTCCGGGGACCCCCAGGGGCCGCCACGCGCGCGCGAAAAAAAAAATCCTAAACTCTTACTGGAGATTTTAGCACGCCTCTGGCCCGTTGGGCTGGCGAATGTGCATATACATAGATATATATATATATATATATATACACATATATACATATATAGATATGTATATATATATATATATATATATGCCACCGTGCCGCTGGGCACGAAGTGGGCGTGTCCTCAGGTCATTTGCCCAATCTTCTAAACAACCATCTTCACTCCTGATGAGTGTTCAGGGGGCCCAGACCCCAAATTCACAAATCTCCTGGTGTTTGTCGCGGTTCCCCGCGGCTTGTCGCATGAATTTCTGGGGCCTCAGAGGGCTCTAGGACGGGCCACGAGAGCTCCAAGAGAACCCCAAGATGATCCAAGAGTGCTCCGACTTGCCGAAAGATCGTTCCAAGACGCCCAAGACAGCCCCAAAACGGTCCATGAGGCCTCCAAGACAACCCCAGAGGCTTCCAAGAGGCCCCCCACGAGGGCCCCAAGAGGCCAAAATCCTTGATTCCCCTTGGTTTTTAGAAGTTTGGGGAGTTCTCGCCTTTTCGGATTCCCGACGCTCCGAGGAGACCCGAAGAAACATCCTTGAGAACTCTGACCCGCAACTCAGGCACGGTGGCGGGATGGGCCGAAACCATCAGAGCATGTTTATACATATATACATACACATATGGATATATCTATATATATATATATACATATATATACGTATGCACACACACACCTATGTATAGTTATATACATATATATATATATACATGTACACCTATGTGTACACATATATACCGACATACAGACATACATGCATACATACATGCAAGTATGCATACATGCGTGCATGCATGCATACCTGCAAACACACATGCATGCATAGATGCCTGCATACATACATATACAGACAGGTATACATGCACGCACACACGCACTTATGCATGCATGCATGCATGGATGCATACAGCCACACATACATACCTGGTTACGTGCATACATGATTGCATGCATACGCGCGTCCACACCTGAACACATACATACATACATGCATACAATCATACATGCATAACCATATATGCATATAATACCATGCAATGCAGCAGTGCACTACAATACAACATAATACACTATAATCCAATACATGCATACATACGTACATACATACATACCTCCATACAGACGTACATGCATACATACACTCATACATGCATACATGCATGCATCCATGCAGACATACACGCATGTCTACATTCATGCACACATACATACAGACATAACTGCATCTGTACATACATACATATCCATCTAGCCGTACAGTTCCATCCATGCATGCATGCATGCACGCATGCATACATACAGACATACATGCATGCAGCCACCAACCCAACAAAACATCCATGCATGCATGCACGAAAGCATGCATACAGACATCCGTGCGTGCATGCATGCATACACACATGCATGTACGCATCCATACATACACACATGCCTACCTACCTACATCCATACACACATGCGTAGATATAGGCATACATACATGTATGCGCACATGCCTACATACATACACAACAACAGCCATACAGTCATACATGCACGTATGCATGCACACGTACGTATGCACGCACGTGCATATATGCAAACATGCATGCATGCATACGTGCACACACATTCATTCATTCATACATGCATACCTACATGCATACATACATACACACAAGCATGCATGCATGCATGCATCCATACATACGAAACATACAATACATACCTATAACTATGTTGATGCCT